TGCGTCTGAGCCTGTGCACGTCCAGGAAGGGCTCAGTAATCCAGTGCTGCCACAGGCATGCTGAAAATGAGGAGCCCCTGAAGAGTTGTGGAGAGCACTGTCACTTTTTCCACCCCAGCAGGGTGGAGGAGAGATGGAGGAGGAGAAGAGAAGGAAAGAACACGGATGGTTATGGTGGTTAGAGGGAGAGAGTGAGCAGACAGAGAAAAGAAGCCGTCCACTTGTTGTGTCATCGGCACTTGAACCTCAACACAAGGCATGGCGGAGAAACGAACCGCTGCTGCTAGTCTCTCCTTTCCTGTGATTCAGTGATCTTTTATAAAGAATATCTCTTTGGATTTGAGACTTTAGTCTTTGCAACTTTACAGATCTTCTTTATGCACCAAGAGCTTGTAACACTCCAAAGAGAAAGGAAAACTTGAAATCGCATCATATGACCCCTTTAAATAATACTGTGTGTATTATATGTTGTGGTGCCTAAATTCACTTTAGCATTTAAAATGTTTCATTTTAGTGTTGAATTTCTACCCTAATATGAAAATAATTATCAGTATTGGAACAGAATTTTTAATATTGCTGTATCCTTAGTATACACTACTGTTCAAATGTTTGCAGTCGGTAAGATTTTTTAATGTGTTTGAAAGAAGTCTCTTATGCTTTCCATTAGCAAGTCAATAATAAAAAAACTGTGATATTGTGAAATATTCTGACTATTTGATATATAACTATTTTCTGTTTGAATATATATGTAATTTTTTCCTGTGATGTCAAAGCTGAATTCTCAGCATTATTACTCCAGTCTTCAGTGACACATGATCCTTCAGAAATCATTCTAATATGATGAATTAATGCTCAAGAAACATTTCTTACTATTATCAATGATGAAAACCGTTGTGCTGCTTAATGTTTTTGTGGAAACTGATACTTTTTCTGAGATTCTTTGATCACTAGAAAGCATTTATTTGAAATATAAATCTTTTGTAACATTATAAATGCCTTTACTGTAATGTTTGATCAATTTCATGCATCCTTGCTGAATCAAATATTATTAATAAAAATTGTACTGACCTAAACTTTTGAATTGTATCGTACATATGGTTTGTAAAAAGATTATTTAAATGAATAGAACAGAAACAAATACATTTTGTAACATTCAATTCATGGCAAAAAAAAAATAAATAAATACAGTATCTGCAAGTAAAAGCTGTTTATTTGTAGACTGGGATAATAGCATGGCTGGAGTAGCACTACAGGGGCATCAGAACTACAAATGACATGCCTGTCAACTCAAGTTCTGTCACAACCAGCTGCAATGGACTTCTCCACTGCAGACAGCATCATTGATTATAATGAGAGCAATTTAGTTTATCAAGTGGAGCCGATCATGTCCGCTGTAGATGCTGTGTTACAGTTGAACCTCTAGGCTAATTGGAGGGTCAGGATGAAGAGGTGGAGGTTTGAGATAGCTGAACTGCCATGCTCCAATGGGATATCCCAAATTGCCCCTTCTCAACAGGAGGCTTAAAAGGATTGACAGTTTGCAGGCCACAGCATTAGCCGAAGCTGAAGGGATGCGTTAAGGCCGAGGCAGTTAGAAGGCTTGAGGAAGTGTCACGGTTTACAGAGCCGTGTGAGCGCTCAAATCCACATAGAGTATTGCAAAGTGTGCTGGGCAGAGGGTGATAAAATATGTAAAGATATGAGTGAGGGCAGCTTTACAGTGTATTTAGTTCACTCTTAAAGAATGAGTTTAATCTCTTCCTGTTGGGCACTGTGAAAAATAATGCTTGGTGCATCTTTGTAAGCCTCTTGTGTATGCACTGTTATCCGTCTAAGTGTATTGAATGAATGAATGAATGAAATATCTGGTTCTCCCTGTCTCTTACTGCTCTTTTAAATCTCTTCCTCTGGCCAGCTCGGTTCCACTCATTTTAATGCAGTTGTTAACAGCTTGCGGTGGAGCGGTTTGTGTGGCTTTGGTGTCAGTACGCTCACAGGCTGGTGGGTAGCGTCGAACCCGACGAATGAAGGATCGCAGACACAGTCAAATCCCTCTGATGCAAAGTAGTGAATGAGACCTGCTTTCCCTTTACTACTCCACTTCTCTCTCTCTCTCTCTCTCTCTCTGTCTCCTGAGCATGTGTAATTGAACAGTTGCCCACAGTGAACACGATGAGCTTGTGATTGGTTTAAAGGATTTGAGCAAATTTTAGAATGGTGCAGAAAGACTTTGGACTTCATAGGCAGCAAGGCAATGGATTTATCAAAATACTGTACAATAATCATATTAAAAATGCTCCAATAGGGGCAAGTTAAAACTTTTTTCTTTTCTTTTTTAAATTGTTGGCTTAATTAGGTCGAAACTGGAAGCTGAAATTATCGTATTTTTTCCATTTCATACAGCATACGTTGTTTTTCTTTTCCATTTGGTTATAGAAATACCTTAACAATAGAGTTATCAATAATGTATTTTCCATTATGTAAAGGCAATAGTGTAAAATCTCATATATACAGTGTATATATA